AAAAACAAATCTAAAGAAATAAATATAATCAGAATCAACTAACACGTACTGTTGTCCTTGAAGTCTTACCGTTGCATTAAAATACTGAGCAGTTGACCGCTTCATTCACTGATTAATTGAAAAACTGCGGAGGTGTTGGAAGGCGATGATCTTGGGGGCGGGGCACTTGCCCTCTTTCTTCGTCCCCACCCCGGGGCATTTAGACAACTTGTGTGTCCCCACCCCAGGGAATTTGCCCATTTTTTAAAAAAAATGCTAATCTAATGCCCGGGGGTTAGCCCAGGGGNACTGCTGGAATTGACTGATGCATAATGATAACCTTATTTGACATATTTCTTCTAAATATGGTCATGGATTGTGTGTCTTATGAGATGAAAGTGGCATTACCATATTTGACTTTGTTATTTTAAGCCTACCAAAAGTAGTTTATTGCTACTTTGAGCATTTTATGCTCTGAAGGTGAACAGGATTTGCTATTGGACGCTCGCACATGCTAATTTGCATATTGCGTTTATGGAGATTTTATCATTTTGTTTGTCTAATTTATTTGGTTTAATGAAATGCTTATTGGTGAATTTCTCTTAAGGTTATTGTATCGAGTATTAATACAAGTGAATAGTACTTTATGGGAGCTCTGATTTTAGACTAGGTTAAATCTATATATTAAATGAAAAATTTGTGGACCCTGGGCCCAGTTCTCTTGATTCCCTTGCTGAGACCTTTTTCCTCCTAAATATTCAAGCAAACAACCTCTCTATTTTAAGTAGGCATGGTCCTGGGTTATGTGAATCCATTTGTCCACGAGTGGAAGACTCAAACAGTGATCACTCCACAGTAATATACCATTTTACATCTCTCAGCTCACAGGACTTGGTCTTCTTGGTGTGGGGATTTGGGCACGTGTACAGTTCAGTGATTACATGAAGTTATCAAGCCATGATTACTCCACAGCCTGCTATGTTCTGATAGGTGCTGGAGTTGTTGTCATAATCATTGGTTTCATTGGTTGCTGTGGAGCTCTAAAAGAACATTCATGCATGCTGAAAACAGTAAGAGATTGTGCATTTATGTTGTAGTTTACTATTTTATATGTCCCAAATGAATATTTTTTTCACAGTAACTTCTGTCGGAAACTTGTTGTTATCATGTTGCGTGACAAATAGCATGTGGCGATTTTGATATAGAATGATGTAAGTTGAACCAATAGATAAGGATTAACAATTACCGGAAATTCCTGTGTGACCGAAACTATGACCACACCTTGTTAAGAATCGGATCGAGTAGAATTACGGTGAGTTGGAGAATTGTACTAGATAGGAGCGAATAGTGACTGTGTGAATAAATACTTTTAAAAACATAGCATGAATTTTGGAGATCACTAAAGTCAAGGGGACATTCTCCAAACTTCAGCCAAATTGAATATGGATCCGTAGTCCACTTCTGCTAGCAGTTGAAGTGTGATGTGTGACCCTCCATACAAAAACACGTCTTATCCACAAAAGCGTTTTCTAGGGGGTTTGAGGTGACTGAAAACCTTTGGAAACCCGGTTTCAAAGGGTTTGAAACCCTTTGGAAACCCTTTGGAAACGCTTTGAAACCCTTTGGAAACCCTTTGAAAATGCTTTGGTAACCCTTTGAAAATGCTTTGAAACCCTTTTGAAACCCTTTGGAAACCCTTTTGAAATGCTTTGAAACCTTTGTGAAACGCTTTGAAACTCTTTGGAACGTGGGAACACTTTGGAAACCCCTTAGAAATGTTTCGAATACTCTTTGAAGACCCAATTTTAAAATGTCAGGGGAAAAAATATTCTCCTAGTTTGCATTCGGTGGTGAATGCACGATAGCACTGCATGTTATAATTTTCTTTTTTTGCATAAATTGTATTTTGCCGCATGATTCAGTACTGATTTATTTATAGTTGTGGAAAGATCAAAAGATATAATGCATGTGGAACTTCTCCTAAGTTTAGTGGCAAAAATTTTGGACGTTTCCGAATGTAAATGTGAAAAGGTGGTTTACACGCAAGATCAATGACATGCGTCATTTGCATATTTGCGTGAGATGCAATCTTTTCTTTTGAATATTCTGTTTGCTACTGCATAATTCTGGGTACGTTTTGTCTAAATAATTCTCAAGCTTTCTGAAGAATTTAAAATTATGCTTTCCACTTCAACTGTTTTCTCATTACAAAACTTTTGCTTTCTTGCGAGCAAATATGAAACATGTTGGCTTTCGATCCCGCTATCAAACTATTAAGACACAAAAAGTTCAAAAGTTCTTTGTTATCCCACATAGAATTGATATCAATTTACTTTACATTATGTCTAGACACTCAGCAGCCGGAGAAGGGCTAAACTTCAATAATCTTTACCTCGTTCCGTGTTTCTGGCCTCGTCGGATCGCAGCGTGATCAAGACAAATTTTTTTTCAGTGGTATTATTGTCTCGTGCAAATATGCTTTTTTCTCCAGCATGAAAACTAGCTAAGAGTGCAAACTGTGTTGTAGAACCCTTGGTTTAACTTTCTATTTATTAGCATAGAGCATTTCACCGTTTGAATCATTGATTTATCCCAAGTAGAACCGGAGAAATTTATTTTTCATTACTAGCTGTGATGCTACAGAAGACAGTAAAAGAGTTGATGGGATGGATGCCAAAAGAACAAAACTTTCGCTGGCAGAAAAACTAGCTAAGAGTGCAAAGTGTGTCATAGAACCCTTGATTAAACTTCCTATTTATAAGCAGAGAGCATTTCAGCGATTGAATCATTGATTTATCCCAAATAGAACAGGAGAAATAGTTTTTGCCTTTTTAACCATGACAATATAGTGTCACCACTCACGTGCCAAAAACATACACACACTTAAACATTGAAAGAGCTGAAAACCACGAAAACCAAATGGTTGCATCGGCTTCTCGTGTTTTGCCATCAGAATATATTTCATGCAAAGAAGTTAAGCTGGTAACTGATTATGGGATATGCTCAGGTGTGTTAATTTTTAGATGTCAAAAATAAATGCAGACAAACTTCCTACTTATAATCAGAGAGCATTTCACGGTTTGAATCATTGATTTATCCAAAATAGAACTGGAGAAATTTATTTTTCATTACTAGCCGTGATGCTACAGAAGACAGTAAAAGAGTTGAGGGGATGGACGCCGAAAGAGAAAACTTTCGCTGGCAGAAAGACTAGCTAAGAGTGCAAAGCGCGTCATAGAACCCTTGATTAAACTTCCTATTTATAACCAGAGAGCACCGTTTGAATCACTGATTTATCCCAATTAGAACCAGAGAAATTTATTTTTCATTACTAGCTACAAAGAAGTGTTTTTGTTTGAATGGCCACAGAGCGTATCTAGTACAGGGATGACTGACACGCAACAATTAATAAACAGCTAATAACAGCGAACAAAGAATTTTGTACAAGTATTGAACTTTCAGTTTGACAACTGTTATACCTGTAGGTCGACAAGACCGACCCAAATTCAAGTTACAGTGATCATTTGCTCGTTGTGTATTAGTTTGTCGCATTTTGTCTGCATTATTTTTGACATCTAAGAATTAATGTACCTGAGCATATTCCATAATCAGTTACCAGCTCAACTTCTTTGCATGAAATATATTCCGCTGGCAAAACATGAGAAGCTGATGTGACCATTTGGTTTTCATGGTTTTCAGCTCTTTCAGTGTTCAAGCGTGTGTATGTTTTTGGCACGTGAGTGGTAACACAATACTGTCACCGTTAATAAGGTAAAAACTATATCTCTGGTTATATTTGGGATAAATCAGTGATTCAAAAGGTGAAATACTCTCTGCTTATAAATAGGAAGTTTAATCAAGGGTTCTGTGATGTGCTTTGCACTCTTAGCTAGTTTTTCTGCCAGCGAAAGTTTTTTCTTTCGACATCCATCCCATCAACTCTTTTACTGTCTTCTGTAGTGTCATGGTTCGGGTCGCACTAGTGGATAAAATTGTTTTTGTTGTGACTAAATTTCAGACAAATATCTGTTTCCAGTAAAAGAATTTTGTTATGTTTTAGTGTCGCACGCAATTTGCATTCCTGTCATACACGCGTCAAAGTGTCAACAAAAGGAAACTTTCCTACTCCCGCTAAGAGTGTGACACGATATCACACTATATTAAACATTTAGTGCATGATCATGGAACCACGAGATGCGGCTTTCACTTTTGTTGGAGTTTTATTGCTTTTAACTTGCATGCAGGCTAGAATGGCAAATCTATACAATCTGCACTGTATTTACAGACTTCATAACTTAAATATCCAGCTAGCGTTGTTGGAATATGAGTGTCAGATCAGATAGCATAGACAGCGAAGACAATACAATCCGTACCACTGGCGTTTGCCAAGACCAAGTGGATCGTGGTTCGAGATACACTTCAGGAATCTTGCAATTCTTCCCAACTACTTCAAAAGCCAGCTACGAATGAATAGGAATACCTTTAATACACTTCTCAATGTGCTGCACCCTTTTCTTCTGCGGCAAAACACCTCATTGTGTGATTGCATTCCTCCAGAAAAAGTGCTCGCTCTTGGTCTTTACTGTCTTGCTCATGGAAACTTGTACCTGACTATTGGCGCTAACTTTGGTGTAGGGAAAAGTACCACAATGGAGGCACTTCAAGATGTTACTGGGGCACTATTTGAACTGAGAAACGAGTACATAAAATTTCCAAGCAGAGACTAGGACATGCATTGAAACATTTTCTGAACTTTCAAATCTTCCTAATGTTGCTGCCAGGGTGATTGATGGCATCCATATTCAGATAAAAGGCCCTGATGAAAGGGCTGTCGATTATTTTAGCAGGTATCATCAGTATGATTTTATAGTTCAAGGGGTAGTGGACAGCCACAAACTGTTTCTAGATTTCGCCGCGGGATATCCTGGAAGTCTTCACAATGCCCGAGTTCTGAGAAACAGTACATTGTACAGATGTGCAGAAGGTAACAAAGTCCTAAAAAGTCCTACTCTACAGATTGGTCATCATGAAATTCGGCTGTATCTCATCAGGGATAGCACTTATCCCCTTGGACCATGGCTACAAAAACCTTTTCCCAAAACAACTAGGGATCCAGACGAGATTTCCTTCTACCCAGAGCTGACCACTGCCAGAGTTTCTATTGAATGCGCCTTTGGTATTTTAAAGAGCCGATGGAGGATTTTAGCAAAGCAGTTCGACAGCAATATGAACTTTGCAGTCAAGACTGCAATTGCCTGCACGGTACTTCATAATTTCTGCATCAGGAACAGCGACCACCGGGATGACAGTGACAAAAATGATGACGATGATGGCGAGAATGATGATACAAATGTAATTTGCAAGATGGAGATAACATAAGAGAGGTTTTAAAAGAATATATATCTTCTTTGTAAATGTTTTACTGAACAGTGACAAGCTTCATTGGTCTCCGTTTTTGTTGTGACCTTCCGGAAGGAACCAGTCTATTGCGAGTAACCCGAGATTTACTTTGTTTTATTTGAACACAAATCAAATAATTTTCTTCAGTGCATAGTTAGTAGAGGGGACTAACCATGTTCAGTGTCAAAGTGAACACATTTTAATAGTATAATAGCTCTAAAATTTAAGAAAGAATTGAACATTTCAGTTTGTCTTTAGCAAACTCTCATCTTGTACTACACAGGAACAAAAACAGTAACAGAACCCTGCACATGCATTTTATAAATATCATAAATCGCATATCATAGATAGATGAAAGAGAGTGTTTGACATTTAACTATTTTTGTCCTTAAATGCACGGGGAGAATTCCCCATAAATTGGTTTATCATTTTCATCTGCTGCATTTGCATCTCTTTTCCATGGAAGACGCAACACGTTCTCCTTGGGATTTGATCTCGTCGTAGGCATGTTTGAAGTGCTCTTCCATTTCTCTGTCGGCATCTTCTGGTTTTCTCTTCCTTTTGCTGGGACCTTTCTTTCTTTCCAGGCAGGATTTTAGAGGCAAAGCGGATTCCATTGGCTCTTTCTCGATACTGGACTCAGCAGATACATTCATGGGGCTTCCGCTATCCGCTGAACATGTTGTTGTCGACGGAGAATCGCCCGCTTCTTGAACATGCCTAAGGGTCATGATGTCACGACAACCCAAAACAACATCAATTTCATCGTAGAAAACAGATTTTCGCAAGTTGCTGCCAGTTTGATTTCTATTCCATTCTTTCTTTTCTTTGTAGGCGTCAACTAGGTACTTTGTTTTTTTGCGAACTTGTTGTTAATCGCCTCAGCAATTGCACGCCAAGCATTTCTTGCATCCTTGCTGTTAAGCATATCCTGCTTCTCAGCCCATAATTGCACCAAGTACTTCTGCTATTTGTTGGCCCACTTGTCGTATTTCTTGGACTGGTTGGACTGACTTGGGGATGGGCTCTCAAAAGTTTTTTCTCCAAGTGAAGCTGGTGAGATGTCGCCACTTGAGCTATGACTGAATTGATAAGGACTGGATGTTGGTTGACTCAAGTTGACTTCTTGCTGACCAAAATAATTTCTTGTATCTGGAGTCATCGCTCTTAATGGCATATAAAGAGCACTGGAACTCACATATGGCCAAGAGGGATCCATCTTCGTAGGCTTCTCAACAAGATTGGGGCAAAATCGCAAGTAAACTTGATTTTACCGTGTTTTTCATTGACTATTTGCGTCACGAGTGACAGTTTAATAGCTTTTTTGATTTTTTTGTGACATTTTGGCGAGTTCCAGAGCTTGGCAATTTTAAGTGCTGGCATCTTTGAACATTTGGTACATTCCGCTCATTTTTGACAATGTCTGACAAATCAGTCGCACAGGAAAAACCTACCTGTTAACAGATTTTTTTTGTAAAAAAAACAACTTTTTACACCAGTGTGACCCAGGCGTAACTTCCGTTCAATTTTTACTTGCCGTTTAAACGGACGCTAAGGTTATTATAACAGATTCGAAAATGTCACAAACGGTATTAAACGCAAGTCGTTTGAACGGTAAGTTAACGCAAAATGATTTTCAAGGAGCATTCTGAAGTTTAGCCTAAACATCTAACAAGCAGTTTTGTCAATTTAAGGGAGGAGCATTTCAGCGAACATCAAACCAGCGTGGTACAAAATATCTTGTTGTCATAAATTAATTGTGACGTGATGCGGTTGCGGTCAACGGCCATGAATACTCATGAAAGGTTTTTGCATGAGTGAACAGTTCACTGTGTAGACCTCAGTACGTTTTTTAAAACAGAAAAGTTTTTAAGCCCATGCTAACTGGGGAAACAATTAACAACAAAAATTATTAATAAACTTAGCTGAAAGAAAGACGCTCTATCGAGACGCTCTATCACACTACATTACATGTAACGTTTTGTCAAGGGGTTTCAAAGCTTTCATAGGATAGGAAACCCGTTGCTAACACTTTTAAAAGCCCTTTGGAAACCCTTTAGAAACCTGGTTTCAAGGGGTTCCAAGGAGTTTCAAACCCTTTGGAAACACATTGGAAACTCATTAGAAACCCCTTGGAAACCTTTTAGAAACCCAGTTTCAATAGTTTGAAACCCTTTGGAAACGCTTTGGAGACCCTTTGAAACTCTTTAGAAACCTTATGGAAACTCTTTAGAAACCCCTTGGAAACCATTAGAAACCTGGTTTCAGTAGTTTGAAACCCTTTGGAAATGCTTTGGAAACCCTTTGAAACTCTTTAGACAAATCTAGAGTCAAAAATGAGCCAATAAAAATCTAGCCTTTAATGTGCATTTTCTGAGAATAAGCAAACAGGTATAAATCACAAAAATTAATTGTTAATTTTATGTATGTAGAGGATATTACATGCCCGCGCGTGGAGTGTTCAACTCGATATCTCACGAGTGAGCATAGCAAATGAGTGAGATATCGCGTTGAACATGAGAAGATAAAACTCGTATCCACAAGCGGGCATGTAATATTCTGTTTATTATATAAATATGCTAATGGCGAGGTTTTTTTACAATTTTCTGAAGATTTCTGAACATTTTCCGAAGATTTCCGAAGATTCTCCAAAAGTTATCTGAAGGCCAGACAAATGTTTCCGAACATTTTCCGAAAATTTCTGAAGATTACCAAAGATTTCCGAAGATAACCGAAGATATCCGAGGAAGATTTGATGATGTATTGATCACACAGCAACACATCTAAGTTCAGTTTAAGCAATTATCATGTTAGTAAGCATGGCGACACCAATATCTTCACACGTGAACGATAAAAATAGTATCTTCACTGCACACGATGAAGATATGATTTTTTAGTAAAAGGAGAAGTCCTGGTATTTCACTAGTGTTTATATAATACTAAGATCTGTTCAATACCTCACTGTAGGGGGAATAACTCGAAAACCGCAAGGTTCATTTATCCCCCAAGCTAACATATCTTTTGCTTAAGTTATAGTAATTTTCTTTGCAAATGTGTATCAAGTGTCGTGTTCCCACAGCATTTCTCGTTCTCCCAAACTTCCATTTGTGGTTCTATAACTCAATAGAAACCCAGTACATTTTTTCTTTTTCTTAAATATTAGGCTTGAATACTAGCCACCGTTTGAAAAAGAAGGCTGTTCCCCTCCCTCGATCTCATGGCTGGATGTGTGGACTTGGCATTTTTAATTTTGACCTATAAGAAATCTGCCTGCCAGTGAACTGTCAGGCTATATAAGTTATCTTTCTTTTAGTAGCTAAGATATTGTACAATATTTAGTGTGGCTGGGTTAGCAGGACACTCCCCCCCTCAAAAAAGAAAGACATCTTAGAGATCTCAATGAGCCGATTAAAAACTAACTTAGTTACATGCATCTGTAATGCCCACTTTCCGAGAATTAACGAATAGGTATTATAATGATACAAAAAAAATGTAATTTATTGTCAGTACGGGTCAGATCAGGCCAGTTACTGTATCTAGACAGACATACAGACATGCATTTGGTCAATTTATATTGGTTGACTACTGATAGAGTACATGTATTCATAGAAAAGTCTGCAGATATGTCTTTTGGTTAATATGGTTGTTGTCTTGCTGATACTTGCTGATGTTGAAAAAGTAATTTTCTCACCTAGCAAAGAAAAGGTAAAGTATTCATATGAGCCAAGGGGCCCATTTGAGCAGGCCGGCACTTACTTTCAGTTTCTGTAACATGAAGCGACTAGGAGTATATCTTGTCCCCCCAGAAAGGATGCTATTTCATCACAGGGCTACCCCCAGCATTAAATTCGTCGGTACCTATTTATACACCTGAGCACTGTGAGAATTAAGTGTCTTGCCCAAGAACACAACACGATGTCCGCGGCCAGGGCTTAAACCCCACTGCTCAATTTGGAAAGGAGTGCACTCACCATGAGGCCACTTCACCTAGCAAAGAAACATTTTAAATTTCCAGTTCATACCTGAAGTGAAGGTCACTCTGATGAGTCATCAATGAGATGGAAAAATATATCAAAACAAGTCACTGTTCTTTGAAAGAAACTTGTCTAAAAAATTGTTGTTTAAGGCTGAGATTAACCAGAATTTTAAGAACTTACAGTACTATGAACATACACTAGGCTGAGAGTTGCTGGAGGAAGTTTATTTTCAATTAACGATTTTTAAAAGAAACTATGAACTCTGGAACAATGTAAAATTTCATTCTCTATAGTTCAATAACCAAATGCTTTTGGCAACATACCGGCACTCGTGCATAAAACAATCTTATGAGTTCTCTTGTGTAGGATCATTTTCTTAATAGGCAAATACAGCTGCATGTCGGAGGCAACTCTAAACGAGGGACAAGAGGCAGCCCATAGTGCCTTTGATTTTATTTTGTATGTGTGTTTTTTTTTAGGATTTGTGAAATTAAATAAATTTCTTATTTAAAAAATGCAAGCAACGGTTTAAGTTATTTCAAAAGTGGTAAACAATGACTGTACACATTCTCTGACCTCCCAAAGAGCAAGCATTTTATTTACATATTTCCAAAAAAATTGCCTCCTGCATTGGCATCTTGAAGAGAAGTAGGTCTTTTGTTCCTTTTGAAATGTTCCTATGCATCTATAATGCTTTAGTTCAACCTCATTTCGATTACTGTAGCGTCGTATGGGGTAGTTATAATAAATCTCTTTCCATTAAACTACAAAAACTACAAAAACTACAGAATTGGGCTGCGTGTATTTTGACCTCTTCTTCATATGATGCCAATGTGGATGATCTCTTTGTTAGACTTGGCTGGCAAAAACTTAATCTTCAACAAGAATTAAAAACAGCCACTATGGTCTATAAATCTCTTAATGGTCTCGCCCCTGATTATCTGAAATCAATGTTTACTGATCGGAGTGCAATATCTACTTATTCTCTCAGTAATTGTGAGGGCAAACTAGCTGTTCCACTCCCCCGTAGCAATTTTCTAAAAAACAGTTTATCTATAGTGGTGTGGTGCTGTGGAACAGCTTACCTACCAATCTGCAGCAAGCACAAACTCTTGCTAGGTTTAAATCCGGCTGCAGATGTTTCCTTTTTCATAATAAATAAGTTAATTAATCACATGGCATTCATGGAAAGCAGGCACTTCGTTACTGTTTTTTATTTTTGTTGTTATTAGATTTAATTAGTAGTAGATTAGTATCTTAACAATGTAATTAATACAATTTTAGTATTTACTTTAAGTGCTGATGTTTTACCCGTGTATAAATAAAGTTGAATAAATAAATAAATAAGCTTCTGTCCAAACAAGAAAATCTTTAATAATAATATTATAGTAAACAAAATTAATCAGGTACATGTTTCCTGACGATACATTCCAATTTATCTCTCAGTTTGCAGTGATTCTTGGCTTTCTCTTCCTGGTTGAGCTTGGGGGTTCCATCACTGGTTATGTTTTCAGACACAAGGTATCTATGCTTGTATGTATGTAAGCTTGTTCAGACTTGTTCAGGTTGAGAAAAATGTTTCTGCTGTGGGATACAAATGTTTTGCTAAATTTGGTGGTAGGTAACTGTCAAAATTTTGATTTGTGTGCATGCCCAAACAAAAAGGGGGATTGGGAAGAGCTGTCAAGGTGTACGGACATTATTTTTGAGCTCTGTGACCACTACATCAAATGGCATAGAGAGAAAGAAATGGAAACCTCTTACAGGATATATGAGGATTGAAATAGTATTTTAGATTATATTTTCTATACCTATCTGTATTTATCTCCTAGCCATTAGTCTATTTCTAATCTCCTGTCAGGTGCATAACTCATTTTACCTATAATGTATCACATCCCTTTGGTCTGTTTTTGATGTTTCTATAGTGCAACCTCAAGCTGTAATGACAATTATCTATTTTTCTTCTTTTTTTCTTTGCCCCTTGTCATCACTGTATTTGTTAGTGGTGTACTGTAAGTCGTGTAGATATTGTAATTTAAATAGTGTAAATAATTAGAGCAAGTAAATAGAGCTAGTGTCCTAAGTAGTCTAAATAGTGTACTGTTCGTAATTGTATTGTAAGCATTGTATTCCCTTGTGTTATTGCAAATAAAAAGAAAATTGAAAAAAATGGCGTAGAAAGGTGGCTCTATACGTTTAGACACAATGCCAGATAAAGAGGGAAACGACGCGGAAACAAGTCAGGATACTCGCAAAAGAAGACGAATGACAAGAGGCTGTTAGACAGATGATAAACCTTCAAAGTCAGAAGAATCGAACCTGCCCAACAACATGGCAGTGACGCTTGCAGAAATAAACAGTAAACTGGGCCTTGCTTAAATAGCTGGAATAAAGGAAATCAAAGAGCTCAAGGAAAAATAGCACCTAATGGAGAAAGAAAATTCTGATTTGAGAGAAAGCCTAGAGTTCACTCATAAGTCCATGGCGACCTTAACTGAGCGAGCGGACACTCAACAGAAGACACTATCAAAGTTCACCGAAGATGTGAATAAATTAACACAACACACATGTATAAGGGGGGTTCTGTTACTTTTTGTCAGTGGGGTTTTTCTCACTTTACCAGGTTTATGTGCCACTTATCATCAGCTGTCTCACATGCTTGGCCGGCTGACAATAAGTGGCACATAAACCCGGCAAAGTGAGAAAAACCCCGCTGACAAAAAGCAACAGACTCCACCTTATATATGTGTATGAGACGCAAACTCAGGCAGGGATACGCACCGCCACCCAAATGGTAACAGAATTATTTTTCTATTGAAGAAAAATGTTACCTTGGTATACACAAACATGGGACAAGGCAGAAAATGCCTGATTGATCAAAGCCAAAAGAAGCAAAACAAATCTCACGGATAAAGAAAGAGGAAAAGTGCAGTGGTGTCGGCATTTTGATAGATCAAACTATAATAAAAAAAATAAATTCAGTATTATTACCAGAGGTTTTTGTTGATGCCATGAAACAAATGGAACCGCAAGAGCTTGCCAATATTCCCCTCTCAAAAGAAATGTAACTATGCAAATTAAAAAAAGTTTTGTTTTGGTAATATACCCCCCACCTTCAGAGGACATATAGAATATTCGACAGGGGCAGGTTTTTGGCTAAATATGTACAAATCACCTATCTGGCCGCCAAGGACGCAAAAAAATGAAAACAGCCTGCATGGGGGAGGCGAGGTTTCTAATTGAAAAAACACAAGGCAGTGTATACCAGTGTAGAGTGTACATGGTGCTTGAAGTCCAAGATCGCAGGATCAATAGGCACGGGCCATCAGTCGTGCTGAAACTAGAAAATAAAAACGGAATGATAGAGTTCGTGTGGGCACCAGTATCGCTAGTGTACGCGATGAGATGCAGAACCGGAACAGAATATATCTTTAACAAACGAATGAAACAATCAGAGAAGGGCAACATCTATTATGATTTTGGACTGTCCTAGAGGCCACCAGGCTAAAAAAAAAATTTTCCAGCAGATTTAGTTGAAGCCATGAAGCAAATGAATCCGCGCGAGCTTGCCAACATTCTCTTCTCAAAAGAAATGTAAACAGAGGCATTGGCTATGCAAATTTGGTGATTGTTTGTTTTGGTCACACACCACTGCATATATAGAACATTCAAGAAGGGTTATTGCATTTCTGAGCACCCTAAGAAAATCAGTGCTTGAGTTAAAAATTTTATTTTTTGATTTTACTTTTTAGGGCGCAAAGGAATGCAGGTTGTTAAGGCGCACAGGTATGCGACGTATTGTTTTACACGTGCACACCTATTGTTATGTGACGCAAACAAATAATAGGCGCGTGATATTCGTTTTTCTGTAGCAACCAACATTGAATTACTACGTGTTTGAAACGTGAGAAACTGATGTATTGAAACGAGGGGGTTTCCCTGCAAAGACAAAAGACTGTCTTAATTAGCCTCAAGCAGGGCAGCGACGATTTCACGAGTAATATCACATGCTTATCTGCCACTCTGTCGTGAAATATTCATTCACAAGAAACGCAATCAAGTGAAAACTGACAGTCATGTTTTTACAATATGCAAATGAAACCGTGTGTTTTCAAATGTTAATTCGAGCCGATGGCGAGTATTTTTTTTCGAAATTCAGTTTCTATCTTGCTGTGAAGATTTTTCTTAATCTTTTCAACATCAAGGCAAGACGACTGCAGTGTGAGTTTAGCCCTCACAGCTTCTTTCAGCACATAATACTGAGAAAATTCAGTCATAATAAGCTGAAACTCCGCGTCAGAGACCTGGTTATCTGCCAGTGTTTTGGAAAGAAGTTGCTCAACTATCTCATGTTTTGCTATGGCAAGAGTAACAATCTCTGGATGCTTCTTAATCTTTGAATCGATCTTTTTACAAGCAAGTATCAGCCCTGACAAAGCAAGAGCGAAACATCTGCCAACGCCGCCTGATGGAGTTGTAGCAGGCAGACCAACTACAGACAGAGCCGAGCCTAAACTTGCGCTAGAAAACACTGCTGAAAGAACACTAGAGCCAGCAATGCTCCAGTTAACGAACTTTTTTGCCTGTTTATACTTTTTGACAACAACTCGATAGTGGGCTACCTCGTTGTTCAAAGTGGTTGAAATCTCATTGATTTTCTGCAACCAAAAGTTGGGCTGCAGTTGGGGGTAGAGGGGCGAAGCTTCAGGAGGAGCGGACGGTGGCAAAACATTCGCAGACGACATTGTATAAAAAGCATTTAATTTATTTCTGATTTAAATTCAAACGGCAAGCCATTGAAATCAAAGAGGTCACCATTATCATCTTTGACACTAAATGTGATGCTATTTACAAAGCTGTCTGTGGCGCAGTCAGGCAAAACTTGTTGCGGAGGAGAATTGTAGGTTACCTTTGCATATGACTTTCCACCAATATCAAACAGAGCTAAGATATCTGATCTTTTACCGCTGAACAAATTCTTTTCTTTGTCAATCAAATCACAATGAAGTATGTCGTTGGAGATAAAGCCATTTTATCTGTGTTATGGTTTGTAATTTACACCCAATACCAAACAAATTGGCTAAATCACGATCAAGGGTAATTAGTGTTCCCCCCAAAATTTTTTACTACAAGCTGGCCAAAAGGCTCATTTGTTTGTGTATCTAATTAACAACTAGACCCGTAGTCCGCAAGGGCTATGGGACCATAGTTAGTTTCTGCTAATGCAGGTTTTTTTGGGAAGAAATTTGTGAAAAACGATTTTGCCCCAATTGGGCTCAAAATCTACTTCCGGTTATGCTGAATTTTCTGAATATTTCATTGCATCGCACACCACACAACAGCTACTTGAGAATCTTTCATTGATTTTTATATTCAAATCAGGTCTTCATGGTATGACTGAACAAAAAATATAATAAATCAAAGTTAGTTTTGAGCCTGAAACGAGTTCGAACAGACACGCAAAATTTGACAATGAAGTTGCAAGCGAATTATAGCACTAAAATATCGCCCTATTTTTCTATGGGCTATAACTTTAGATGCCATAAAAACACTTTCTATGGGTTAACTATACACCCACCTGTTTGAAAATCAAAAATTATCTCTGGCAAATGGTTTTAGGTAGGCTGCCTTGGCCTGTGTTTCTCATAAATTTTTCCCCAAGTTATGCAGATACCGTACTGTCTTAAATCCATCTTTTTGACGACCAGTTAATTTTGGCTAAATTATTGATTAATTAAATTATATATTTTGAAAGCAGACAGTTGCTCTTCCGTGACCAATTTCCGAGAACAAAACAAAATGGATGTTTGCTGTTTGTTTAAGGCTGCGTTCCTTTGGGGTTATATTGATCACTATCAGTGATCCAAATCACTTGGATCATGGTGCATCAAATGAGGAGCTGATAAATCGGTGACCAGGGTGTATTCAATGGTTTCTTTGATGAATCATGATCTGAGTGATATTGGATCACTAATCCTGATCCAGATAGCCCCTAAGGAAAAGACACTAGTTGGTAGACAGTGCTCCTTTGATCGCGAAGACCGAAGGCAGTCAACAGAGATAGCAAGTACTTAAAACATAACACACAAGTTCAAGATGTGAAGAGTGAAGAGGAACTGATTCATGCGCGTGTTGCGATGCTTACCACTCCACAAAATATCCATGCAAAGCCTATTTGTCCATCACATCGTTCATCCAGTGGTCTTAGCTGGAAAGGGTGAACCAAAAGATGTAGGGTCCCTTGAGAGATATCAAGGCACAAAAACATCAGAGAGAAAATGCCCAAAGGCCAAACGGGTCATAAACAAAACTTTCTCCCAATTCATCATGAAAAGAACAGGTTCACGTCAGATCAGAGAGCGTCTCTGACTCATGTTAATACTTTTTACCTGTATCGGTTGACCAGCGTCTGATCATTCCAGGCACATGGATTAAATATACCAGCATTGTTCCAAGTATGCTTTATTAACTTTGCTTCCAGGTACCGCAAAATGTAACATGAACTGATAAAATAAGGCAAGTGATTAGAACTAGTACAGACGCAAATGGAGTTGGCCCATCAAATCTCTTATCCAAGCACAATGCAACCTACATGTAGCCATACCCATCCCCCTTCATCCTCGAGGGTGGATACAGCTACACACAGGCTAAGCACAGTGACCTATCCTTTTATTGCATTTTTCAAATGTTGAAAACCGTTCAAAAAGAAATAGTTTGACAACTGTTGGAAATCACCAGTTCACCCAACACTAGTCTCGTCTCAAATCTTTTATTCGTCACAAAACTCACCAAAAATCTCAACCGTTACCGAACACGTTGGTTTTCTACTCTGAATTACAGATCATTCCTTATTGTAAAAGTATTCTATGTTCATGTGATCAACTTGTCGCTCAAGCTTAGTCACATTAATCTGTTTGGTTGTTGATTACTGTCACGGTCCTTGTCATGATATGAATTTCCTTTTTTGTCACACACCTATGAGTAGTGCAGCCATGAATCTTTAACAACAACTTTTATTCCTAATGAATCACCTTAGGAGGCAAAAATGTTGTGATGTCTTTTTAAGGGCTGGCAGAGTTGCACCCAGAGACTGGTACTTTAATTTAGATGTAATGTATATTTGTCTATCAATATTATGACTTGCAAATTTAAAAGACAGGTAACAATTGAAGGGTTTTGAGCAAAAAGGGCGTATGTAGTATTTTGGGCCGATTTTTATTTTACGCAACAATGTTTTTCATGTCAAAACAAGTCTGTCTGCCAAAAATTAGCTTGATCCTGTAAAAAATAAAAATCAGCCCAAAATGCTACATAGTTATTACGCCCTTTTTGCACGAAACCCTTCAATCAGAATAATACACAAACACACCAGTAGAAAAAGTAGATTTTTTAACAAATGTGTCCCAATATGATTGAAACGCAAATGCAATCTCTTTTTCGGCTAAATTCTAGAAATCCGGCCTTTCGCTGTTATTTTCTACTTGAGGTTGAGCATATTGTGAATGTACAAATTTTCTGCACAGGGTAGAAGTCGTAGAAGAGCTGAGATGGCGTCACGCAGTTAGTAGTTTTTGTAATTTATCGTATTTCCATGTGAGTTAATTTTTCAGTGATCTAATTGCCATAAATGATAGAGGATTGGTTAAATTTATCTCTAAAATGGCCATTGGTAATCAGTGAAAGTATCAAGTGACACATCCTCTGGAGATGAACAAGCTATGTGAAACATATACAATCATTACCCCAAGCAGCCTGCAGTCACGTTTTTTATCAGGGATGTTGTGGGTGTTGCAAGGCAAATGAAAATCTATATTTATATGTTTATATATTTATACGAACTTACACAAAAACAAAACATTTTTCATTATTTTTTCCACATATGACGTTTCTGAAGATTTATTTAAGCAGTTTGTCAGAAACGAATGACTATACCTGCATCACGCAATAGTTTACATTCCAACAGCAGATTTTAGGCAAAATTGATGAAAAACACAGGCCAAGCCAGGCTTCTTAAAACCATTTGCCGAGAAATATTTCTTGATTTTCAAACAGGTGGATTTATAGTTAACCCATAGAAAGTGACTGTTTTCAAGGCATTTTAAGTTAAAGTCCATAGCAAAATAAGGTGATGTTTTAATCCAATAATTCGCTTTCAACACATTATAAAATTTTGCCGGTCTGTTTGATCTCGTTTCGGGCTCAAAACTAACTTCGATTTATTTTATTTTTCACTCAGTCATACCATGAAGACCTGAGCTGAATACAAAATCCATTGAAAGATTCTTAAGTAACTGTTGTATGGAGCGCAAAGCAATCAAATATTCAGAAAATTCAGCAAAACCAGAAGTAGATTTTGAGCTCAATTGGGGCAGAATCATTTTAGCATATTTCTACCAAAGAAAGCTGTATTAGTAGAAACTAACTATGGTCAGCGTCTAGTCTTACTAGGACCTATCTAAGGGCAAAATACAAGCGAAATCAATTTTTCAACTTGTGCCACTGATAGGCAATTTTAGTCTATTTTTATAGGTATTCACTCTCAATATCGTCAAAGATGGCAGAATGTTTTGTGGTTAGCTTTGAAGGAAATCTGTATGCTATAACACTTATAGCAGTGATGGCTCTTCTTGGATTTAAAATGGCCTTTTGAGTAGCTTTCTCGACAAAATATCTCTGATGGCAAAAGTGGGATGGCAATGGATGTTCTCTTTAAACCTCAGGTCAAAGCAACGGAACAGATGACACAAAACTGGACATTTTGTAATCCAAGAATCAACGAGAGCACAAAATCGCATCTAAGTGACATGTATGTAGTAGTTATTTCTCTTTTCCAGTCTATTTTACGCCTGAAAACATAAGTTGAGGGAACTTACTCATTGAATCTTCTTCTGTCACATTTTATCAATATCGTGAGAATGCCACAAAATGTAGCTCTGAAAATACATGAAAGAAATGTCTCAAATGCTTCTTTTTGCTGAATTTATACTGGAAATTGATAGGAAAGTACTTAGATAGATATTTCTTGTTGATTTTGAGTTAGGTTAAGAGGGAAAAATGGCTTTCCGGTTTTAGTGGATGTTCATGAAATGGTCAAAAATTGTAAAGTCTTATGTAAACAGTATGCCAGCACAGAAAAAAGATTAAAGTCCCCAAACATTTTATGGCTTTTTTGAGAACTTTAGTGATTGCTTTCACTATTCATGTTAGAATAATGTGTATTTACTGTTGCCCAGTGCAGATATTTGCCATCAGTTAAAGGCTATTCACAACACTACAAAATATGCACTTTACTTAAGATGGAGTAACAGAGAGAAATCAAATTGTCTAGTTCAAATGAATATCTGTGCTCTGAGACTGATAATAGTAGAACATGATCCAGTGGATTTCATTTTCACATGGCCTTTCCTGTCATAGAAATACTAAATCAAAGACAGCTAATTAAATATGCATAAATTAGCGACAAACGGCCATTTTTGGACGGGGTCCCCCTAACTTGACGGGAATAAAATATTTTGACCTAATTTTTTGCCATAATCATTTACTCACCAAACCTAACATTTGTGCCAAGTTTGAGCAACATCAGTGATTTGAGCTCACCTCCTGCCCGCAGTTCTGTCTGGTTTTCTCATGGACACACTCTTAATTTATTTAATTTATTTGATTTATTTTGAACTGATCCTTGATCCAGTTTTTTCAGGAAACCGTGGTATGGTTAAGCAATTGGGTCACAGGTGAAATATATTAATGTATATATCACAAAATAAATTTTTGATTTCACATTTACACGTATCTGAGTATCCAAATAATTTACCCTTATTTTCAAACAATGCACAATCAAGTTACTATAAAGTAGCCAAAATTTGAAAATTTCAAGTGGCCCTCAATAATGCCAAAATTCAGCCTATTTTTGACCCTTTGACCTTCCATATTTTTTTGACAATCTATATTATAGATGCTCTCTTGTATTTAAAATATTTGCCCCTATAGACACCTTTTGTAATAAAAGTCAGAAAAGTCAAATGGAACAAGTCTATCACAGATTTTTCAGCCCATAACGTAGACACTGTGAACTTTGCCACCCGCATTGTGTTTTAGCCATATATATTATTCTTAGTTGTATTTATAGGTATCTATTTGTCAGTAATACAGTGTTTCTGCCAGAGCAGGCCATTGTGGGAATCCCACTTTGAAATCAGAGATGGCCCCCAGAAAAACAAAAAAGGGCCATTTTGACCCTTTCCTATTATAAGGCTGCAGGCTTACCACAGACATAGTATTTTAAAGGCATCCCAGGACTCGAAATTGTGACCCATACCTTCAACAATGTACTAACATTTCATCCTCACTGTATCTTTGGTGCTTTATTTTCCTTGGTACCCTGATGCATTTTTTCCTTCTGCAGCTTTCAATTTATTGGCTCCTTTCCTAAAAAAATTGGCCCCTAAAAAAGGTTTTCAGGGACCACTTTGGCCCTCAAGTAGAATTTACTGGCTGAAACACTGTAATATTGTCTGCATTGTAAATAGTTTCATATTTCTTTAAGTCATTTTTAGTGTTGTATTGTTAATAGTATAAGTATTACTCTGTAAGTATTATAGTGTAAATAGTGTCTTGTAACTTGTCATGCATTAATTAAAGATAGAAAAAAATTTATATCTAGAATTTCCTCTGTTATGTTTGATTTTTTCTTTGCAATACTCTCACTACATCCTTTTTTTCAAAATATTTTCTTGCCAAATTTTTGAAATTCTAACAAGTGGTGCTTGAGGAAAAGGCATTTCCAAGAAAACTTTTCACAGCAGCACTCCATTTAACTGGGTTCTTTCAGTAATGAAGAAAAACTTAGGATTTTTGGGTTCCTTGCATGGTTACTTTTCTTAAAATACCTTTACAAATAACAGACCAAAATCACCAAATGAATACACTGCACATGTCATTTGTGAAGGAAAATAGCACCAATAGCCTAGGCATTGAATAAATAAAATGGTTGCTGTATCGATGCCATGTTACAGTTAGTGCTAACTTGTCTGAGTCGTAGAAGAAAGTTAAGGAAAATTTATGTTTTGGTATATTTATGAATTTGACCGTCCATATTTTGATATTTTACAATGGGCCTTTTTACTGATGGCATCAAATATCAACAATTCTTGGTATTTTTCTTATAAACATAAACTAACTCAAATTTCTACTTTTATTGTCCAGCCCCTACAAAGCAGTCAACCCCAAGCAGCTGCTTGCCATTTCTCAGATGGTGGCAGCTTTATAGGGGCTCAACTATCACTGCATACTGTAGGTACTTTATTATGTTTACACTTGACTCAGGGAATGACTTTTTCCTGAAAACCATCACATGTAGGTATATGCTTGTTTTATGCTAAACTATAATTACTGATAAATCCAAGTAATGCTCTTTTATTGTTCATGTAATTTAAATGTGCTTTTTCTTTATGTTTTCTAGATTAAGAGTGGGTTTAGTGAGGGTCTGAATAATGCTCTGAATGACTACAGACAGGATGGTTTTAAACAGGCTTGGGATGGACTACAGTCAACAGTAAGTTAGTGAAATTGTATTTTAAATGTGTGGCAACCTTTCAGTAATATTTATTTAATTCTTTTTAGAAGATATTCATTTATTTGTTGATCATTACTTTTTGAGTGGTTTTAATTATTTGCATTTTGGAAAGGTCAAACTCTTCTTTGACTTTTAGTGCAAGCTTTGGATATAAAGACATTGTGTTAACTGCAGAGCTCTCGGTGACATTTTCTCATCCTGGTCCATCCATTGTTTTCTTCATTCCTTTGGACTTGCATATTGCAAGTTTATCAAAATCTGTGGCCATATTCGTTTGTGAATGTCGTTGTAAGGGCCCATTAACCGATTCATGAGCGCGCTCGTATGCATTGCTAAGGAGGTGAAATTTCACTTCCAGTTACTTACGGCAACCTTGCAAATTTGCTTACATTTTAGATGTTTTTCTTTGTATTTCACAAAATGCAAAGTTAAAAAAGTACAAGCAAAGACAAAATAAGAGAAAGACAGAAAAACAAGAGCAATAGAAAGAGAAAAACTAACTCTATGTGGCTTTGTTTGATCTTACCAAAGTGCACTGGTAGTGTAAATTGCGAACGCACTGATAGGGTAACTTCCAATATATATCAGGCGCACTTCCGGTTTCTTTAGATGCTAAAGGAAATGCGTTTTTTTTTTTCATTAAATCCAGCCTTTTTCGACGAATTTGGATTAAAGCCAATGTTGGAAATATAGCTCTGCGTTACTTTTTCAAAATCATGCTTATTTCAGAAAGGTACGAATTTTTCAATATTTTGAAATTCTCTCAAAACCTGACCTTTTAGAAATGAAACAAAATCTATGCATAGCATAATGAGGATTTAAATTAAAATATTAAATCAATGAAAAAAACCGTGATTAAATAATTTGCCTAGGAGCCTTTGCATTTTTTCAATATTAGTCACATGACCATGGGCATGGTCTGATTACATCATTACTGGTGTTACTGATCTTGAAAAAGTTAAAACACATGAAATAACTCTGAGCTAACTAAAAATGATGGATCATGTGTACTTCAGGCATCTGTCGGTCAAGTATCAGCCGATATATCAACCAACAGTCGGTCGACATATTGGCTGATATGCGGTTGATATGTCGACTGAGAGTCGGCCAAGTGTCGGTCGACATGTTATTCAAGTTAATAGACCATCGGTTGGTATGTGGGTTGACTCATGGCCGACACCTCAACCGACATGTTCGGTGATGTATCGGTCGACTGTCGGTGGTGTATTGGTCGATTGTCGGTGGTATCAGTGTATTGTTAACTGTTGTTTTGCTAAAAAACAGCCGTCTCCTTACCCACAGGAGATGCAAAAGAAGACTCTGTATCGTATATGCTCATATGTTGATAGAGCGAAGATGCAGCTGAAACTACAATCATTTCGAATACATATCTAATGCAACTTGAGGTCTCAACAAGCATAGCTGAAAAAAAAAACAGTCATTGAGATAGCAGAATGTTGTCAGTATGAAAAGTAAAAAACGGACGAGGGCCGCTGAAAGACCCTCTCAAAGGGCTGGTGAAGATTATTTAATATTTGAGTAGAGAAGATAAAGTCAGCAACAAGAGTGGACCACATGAGCGTATAGTGTTGGCCGAATGTCAGTGAAGTATTGGCCAAGTGTCATCCGAGTGTCGGGGAAGTATTGGTCGAGTGTCAGCCAACATGCGTGTCCGTCGATGTCGGTCAATATATGTCGGCTGAGTGTCAGTCGACATATCGGCCGATAGTATCGACCGATACTCGATCGACAGATGCCTTAAGTACACATGATCCAAAATGATGAGATTATGTGAGAATAAATTTTCCTTAGCAATGGCTCGAAAAGATCAGTTAATGGGCCCTTAGATTCTTGAAATCAAAGGCTGCATGGGCCAACTTATGAATCAGAAGGATATAACTTGGCAGCAATTACCATACTGTTTTAGCAAAGTATTTCATTGGTTTATCTATGAGCATTCGACATTGCAAGCATAATAATATGAGTTGGAGAGATTATTTTGGTTGAGAGAAAAACATTTCTGTCTGAATCTCAAGTCTTCTCACCATTAGGTTCAGTTTGCTATTTGTTACTTGTCATAAAAAAAAAGACTTGGTTACCAAGGGTCCTCAGATTGAGTGGCCAAATTTTGTTTACTTTGCAAGAGTCCTGTTACTGGAAAAGGAGAGTGCTTACTTCCCAAATATGAGGGGGAAAGGTCAAGCTTAACAGATACCTTTCTTGGCCAGCTAACAGCGGGTGAACAACTTCATTACATATGCTCAACTTTTTTTTAGGAGGCCAAATGATGCTGTTTATTCTCTGCTCATCGGCTCAGTTTTTGCCATTACTTGAAAAATAAATTTGTTCAAAGCAGAACAATTGGTAAAACTCGTCAGGATTTGTGATAGTTGAGGGCTGTGATACAGTATTGCTAAATGAACCACAAAAGTGCAAGCTCTTAGGGGGGGTCCAGAAGTATTCTCCCCTGGAAAATTTTAAAAAATGGGATTATATTCTCATAGACAGCATTTTATTTCTGTGCAAGACAGTTTGAAATGAAACCACCAGGTATCCAAAAGTGAACCTAAAACATTGAATATTTCTGGGATTATTTAAATTCAAAATAGAATTACACCTCAAAGTTCTTGTGAAAAGATTTTCCTGCATACCCTGTGGGTACCTGTTGGATTGTTAGGTAGAGTATGTGTCACCCATGCAGTAGCTTGAACCCCTAATATATCTTTTTGTGTATAGAGCAATTTTCAAAACCAATACAATCATTCTGGGCAGTAGCAGAGGTCACAGACAATCCAGTGAACCAATCAAAATTTTTTGAATTGATTAAATATGTGTAGCTGATGTGAGGTGCGGGTGAATGTGTGTGAATGAGTCACAGTCGTTTTTGGTTTTGGTTTTACTTCTCATTGGATGAAAAAAAATGGTGCAAGTTTTTTTTAAGTCAGTCGTGTAGTGTAGTAATCCAAACCCAGTAACTTTTTTTCATTCATGTGAAAACCTCTCTTACAGACCTATTAAACCCTAATCTTAGCCCTTTTCAATGCAAAAAAAAACAAAGCCCTAAGTCCTTTCAGACACATTACTTCTCCCAATTGGAAACTCACATCCCATGTCACATGCATTGGACATACATAACCCACCCAAGTCAAATACAAGAACTGAAAAGTACTGCAAAAGCTTTGGAGGTTTGTTATTTCCAAGTGGTAGATGCTTTGTTTACTATTATAAATGTTTGGTTGTTTTTTCAGCTTGAATGTTGTGGAAGTAAGAACTATACAGACTGGTTTTACAAGGAATGGACTACAGATGAATTGGGGAATAATTCAGTGCCACAATCTTGCTGTGTTAAAAGTGAAGCTAACTGTAACATTAATGTCACAGAACATCCTAACACAATCTATGCAAAGGTATTACTGACTGGAGTTTGCTGAATGTAATTTTTATGTAGGAGCTATTCATTTTATTCCTTCATAAGTTGGTGTACGTGATAAATTCTTCACCAGTTTTGAATACTTGGCATTTTGTTTTGTTTTTGGCATTCTTTAAATTAAAAATGAAAAAAAAAATGAAACATATATTTAGCTGTAACTGTGATGATCAGCAATGGCCAGTAAACATAGTGCAGAATTAAACCATAAATTGCCCCCCATCTTTCCTTCCAAACAATCTGCAGACTTTTGTCATTGGCATCTTTAGACAGAAAACATTAGTAAACAAAAGGCTAAGTTTGCCCTTGATGCATTATTTATCTTATTTATTGTTGACTATCAGGGCTGTTATGATGCTGCCGTCACTTTCTTTGAAGACAAATTATTAATCATTGGAGGTGTGGCTTTGGGCATTGCAGTATTTCAGGTAATTTGTTTTATTTTTCACCTCCATAATCATTTTAAATGAAAGGCTTTTGTACCATAGGTTTTTACAGGTTCTCAGGGAACCAATCACAATTGAGGATTTTGTTATAGATGCAATTGTAATAATAATGTCTAGTTTCAGAGAATATCCATACCTCCCCCACAGAAGGTTTTTTTCAAGATTCCCCCCCCAGATTATGAGTAGTCCCTCTTGCGTTGTCCGTTGTACATGACACAAAAGAAAACTGTGAGAAAAAATTGGCTGCATGAAATCCTGGGGGCGAGATGCACGCGAAAGGAAGGACTACCACCTAAAGCCACAGAGTTTGAATTATGCATTGCTCTCACAACACAAAAACATGAGTGGCTTATGCTAAGAGCACTGACAACACATTGTCAACATCCAAGACTCGATATCTTGCTTTCTGATAATAGAAAGCTTTGCAACCAGAGCAAATCAAAGCGTTGGAATTGCGTCTCACAGGCCATGATGTTCTTGCAATGCTGCCAACAGGCTATGGAAGAGTCAATTTATCAAGTATTTTGTTTGGCAAAGCTTTACACCTTGAACCGGAATGCAAGTGTGTTAGTAGTTTTGCCGCTCAACTCCAGGTCACCAGCATTGTCGAAAAACTACTGGAACAATTCCGTAAATATGAATTGACTGAGCTTGGCCTTTCTGCCGTCCATTTTAAAGATTGAATCAGACTTTCACTTGAAACTTTCTGCTGCTATCGGCAAACAAGTCATCGCAGTTGGATGATCTCCTATATCAAATACATAATGTAAATTCTCTGTTGAACTCTGGATTTGAAAATTTCACAATAATTTTTAAATTTAAGCCTACAGACACAGTAAAAATTCATTACAAGATGATTCCTTTACTGTCTTCTTTTCGAAACTTCTTTGGCAGTTTTGCTTAACGAACAACCTAATGAAGATATACTTCTCACAGCATGTTTTTGCCTTGCTACTTGAAGTGAAGAGCGATTCTACTCAAAACATCTCTGGGGTTTTTGACAACAGGCAATAATGAGAGGACGTCAAGATAAGGAACCCTATTGGATACATGTAATGATATTGAACATTTACGCTGAATAATCACTTGGCCGTGAAAGGTTAAATTCTCTGGCTTAGGTGGTAGTCCCTCCTTTCGCGTGCTTCTCGCCCCTAGGAGTTCACATGGGAATTTTTATCGCAGTTTTCTTTCACGTGACTTAAAACGGACTAAGCAAAAGAGGGACTACTCGTAGTCTACCCCCTCTCCCACCCTTCTGGAATTTTCAATTAGGCTTCATATATTTCTTTAAATTTTGGGGTTTTACAGAACCCACCCCTCACCACCCACCCCCAGGAAATTCTAATCCCTTCTGAGGGGGGAATATGGATTATTTTCTGGAACTGCACAATAATGATAATAACAATAAAATGATGAACCTGAGGGCCTCATTATCAATCATTACAATAATTTATTGTCATTTCATTAACTTTGATTCACGTCTGGCATTTTTGTTATATGGAACTAGAATATGTTAAATAGGATAATGCACATTATGGTTCCTGTCATAATTCTAGTTATTCTTTTTTATTTACAGCTTATTGGTGTAGCATTTTCTTGTTGTTTGGCAAGCAGTCTCCAACATTCAAGTAAATATGAACTAGTTTAGAGGCAGCACATGACATGGTCAACAAGCTACCTTCATATTTTATGCCGACTGGCAAATGGACTGCACTGCACAACTTCTGCTTCTTTGTGATTTACCACATGCCATTGTTGGATCACTGTGTAATGAATCATACCTCTCTGACAGATTTTAAACTTCCTGTCAAGTAACTCTGAAAGAAATGTTGTAATTATACTTCTGAATTTAATAATGAACTAGAAATTTCCTCTATAATTATTGTTTATTAATATGTCAGCATGCCTGTTCCATTTGTGACACTATAATAATTATTTTTCTTTCAGTTATGTTGAATGGTATGTGGTGAGACCTTTTTGTATGACCAAAACCAATTGAAATAACTTTGTAAAGCATGCTCAGTATATTATAAAACTTAATTACATGAAATCTTTTAGTATTTTGTGTGCTCCGTTACAATGGTTCATGTAAGTGACATATTGACAACTGCAGAGTCATTGAGGGTTCAGTTGCATGCCTTATCCTTAGTTTGTTCTTGGTAATAAGATTTCTGACATTATGTCTTCATAATTATTTTATCTTTGTAATATTCCCAGCACAAAATTTAAATAAATGGTTTATACCATAATTATTTGCTTTAGTGCCATATCCTTTTAATACATGTAACTCAAAAGTGCACCTCAATTAATTCCCCCTGTGCAAAGGTGTTTTAATTTGTAATAAGTACCACCTGTTCCTGATTGATTTAAAGCTCTAAACTAGGAAAAGGCACTAATAATGTTTATAGGTCAGGGAAGGGAAGTGCTTATAACAGAAATTTAGTTACATTAAAGATTTAAGACACGAGAGATCATTCCAGTTATGTGCAGGACTTAATCAGTTGGGAAAATAAAGCCTAAAAAATCACTTTTGATTGGGATCCCATAGATTTATCAAGTGTCATGGCTGTTTAATGGAATTTTCATGTTATCTGTAAAAGATCTCTTCTGAATAGAAACAAAAGAAAATTAAAACCCATTAATCAAATTCATGGCAGTACAGTTTCAAACTGTTGAACTACAGAAATACAAAATGGAAAGTTGTCTTTAAACCTATTTAGCCAATACAGACAGCCTGGAAAATTTCCATATGAATACATTTCACCAGTTTTTAGCCCAAGCTGTTTCAGCCAAAATTGCTTTTAAAGTTCCAGAAAGAACCAATAGTAAATTAATAATGGCATTACTATAATTTTGCTTTTATCATACTATAACAAAATTCTTACCAGGTAGCCAGACAGTCAGTCAATCAACTTTATTAATCAAAGGTAAAAGGATCTCGATCAGGATCTCAATTGCGGCTGCACCACTCATAATCACAGCTTTGCTACAAAACAAAACCCTCTGGCACCCAGGGTAAAGGTACCCCCACAACTTGACCATTTTGCAAGCTTTCATCTTTCATCACCTCCAAGCAGATCACACAAACATATTTCAATTTCAATTCAAAAACGTTTCATGAAAAAACTTGCTTTTAGAGAAAGTTATGAGGAGAAAATAATTCTTTGCATAAATTATTTCTGATCAATAGCTGTCAACAGTTTGTCAACATTAATAAATGCTGCATTAAAAGGTACTGGTGGTGCTTATATTGAAACATAAGTGCCACAAAATTGTCTTCAGACTTCTATAGTCACAACATTCAAAAGCTGTATTTTGTATTGTTTGTCTTCAAATCTCACTAGCTTTTCCAGTTCTTCAAAGAAGAAATGGAAATGATTGCATACCTGTTTCTGTTAAGAAGATACTGTAGTGAAGAAAGTTTGATGTTTAGTTGCAACATGCTGTGTTTGTTGACCCAGATTTGACCAGTGCGAATGTCATGTTAATTCAAGCTGCAAAACCTTGCTGATATTGATTTGATTACACTGCACTAGAGCAGTTTTCATTTGAGTGTGAAAAGTAATTGGTATTGCACTTACTACGCCACCCGATTAGTTTAAAAAACTCGCGCCACTTTTTCATCCAATCAGGAGTAAAATCAAAACCAAGTGGGATTCACTCGCACGCGTTTTCCCGAGCTTTGCGTCAGCTACATGTAATTACTTGGCGGAGTTTTGATTGGCTCACTGGATTATCTGCGTTCTTTGTGATTGGCTAGAGTGATTACTTTAGTTTTGGTTTTATGACACTCAATTGAAAAGCACTCTACACCATGAACTCAATGTGTTCTACTTTGCAATTTGTATAAACATTGCACTGATTCAACTGTATATGGTATTTACATTAAAAGACAATAGGACTGTAATGTATCTTTTACACTGGGCCTTTGTTAAAGCTATTACATTCCATCTCTCACAGCTACACAATAACATAATTTGTGATAAGTAAGCATAGCCTCTCAGTACAGGTGTAGAAAAGAGGATTTCATGATTTTTATCTCTGCCAACATCAGGAAACATTTGAGAACAATTTGTTTCATCCCAACTGTTTTGTTCAAGTATTGTACTTGCTTCAGTGATGATGGGCTTGATTTCCACTGCTCTCTCATGTCCAGTCTACTGCCATGGGCTCCTTTCCTGAACAGCAGCTGGTAACCAAGCCTACAGTGATGAATGATACAATGCATATTATTAACAATAATCAGTGGCAGATCCAGACCTTGAGCTAGGGGGGAGGGGGGGTTGCTTACCTTGCCGGCTTTTCTTCCTTCTGTGATTTTTTGCTATACCCATAATAAGGGGGGGCCTGGGCCCCCTGGGCCCCTCCCCTAGATTAGCCGCTGATAATAAATTACTATATTGCATTGTGAAAATATTATTTCATTCATTTGTTTAACCCTTCAACTCCCAGGGGTATAGGATGGTCCTTGAAAGATGATTCATTTCATGTATGAAATTATGCTTGATCTATTCTTGGTATGACAATATAGAGTTCGTCATGTTTTGTATGGTGCTGGGTTTTGAGTGCTGCCTTCTGAGCGTACTTTATGTGAGGTACTGTGAAGGTTTTCGGGATCTGGGGTATTTATGTGACAAACTATCGGATACAGGATATTTGCGGGGGGGGGGGGAAATAAATGGGATATGGGATATTACGACCAAACAAAATGGGATATCAAGGAGGAAAATTAGGAATTGTTTGCACATGGTCTGGTCTTGACACATTCATCAACAGCATTCAACAGGACTTTTGTATTTGACCCAAAATACAATCTACTCTATGCCCGGTACTTGTCTGTAAATTTGGCTGGTTAGACAGACATCTAGACGCGGTTCACGGGAAAAATATTATAGACAAATCTATGGAAAATTAGAAAAATAACTGAGCATCTTAGCCAAGCTACATCCTTCAAACTTGGTGAATACAATCTTCAACCTAGTATTTTAATGTTGCGATTCACAAATTGTGTAAAATTCAATTTTGAAAAAAGTTATTTGCCATCGGATTCCCATACAAACCCTGTTATGTCTGACCTCTTTGCCTACGTGTCAAGATGGCGTCGAAAACTGTGATAACGTCTATTGAATACTAAAGCAATCCCTGAGGGTGTCTACTTAGATATATACAGGTTTGACTGTATCTAGATTTCAAACCACAGAGGGTTTTTTAGAGCAATGTCGCCCTAATATTCAGCATAAGAAAAAGGCGTTGGCAGTCGTGGTCAAATGAGGTCATTGTATAAATCACTTACTGACCAATTACTATCTGTTATTCACGTCTGTCATTTGTGAAAAAGTCAAATCACTTTAGATAAGTAATAGTAATTGGACTGAGTGGAGTACAATTCCTGGAGTAACTGGGTGAGTAATTTCAAAATTGAATGAGTGCGCAGCACGTCCAAGCATGGTTACTCCCTGGATTGTACGACATGAGGTTCAATGATAATTATTACTCTTGACATGAGCTCCAATTTTCTTTTGAAAACTTTTTTTGGGCGAAAAAGTTTCCATGAGTTTCAAAAACCGTAGGAAATATTAAGAAGGTTTAAGCCACTGAAGTCTAGGTAAGTGACCTGTGAATGGTGAAGGTGTCCATTCACGTCTAATTAGACACCCATGTGATCACATGCCAATTACATGAAAAATAGGTGTGTGGAGAACCAATCACAATTGAGCATTTTGTTATAGAGACAATTTTGGATAGTCACTCATGATCACATTCAACCAATTCACTAACAAGCATTTTATCATTTCATTCCCCGTAAGGATTGTTACTTTGAAAGTTGAAAAGTAATAAAATTTATATGTTAAGCCCTGCTGATTTCGTTAGTCACCTAATTGTGGCCATTATTTCAGTTGTCTTCACTAATTTTGTTACCAGCATTGTTACGGACAGCAAAAATGTTGCATGATGACCTTAATGGCTGGGAAACTGACAAAAAGATCACATTTACTGCCCACGATACAATGAAGGTTATATACCATGGGATTGCTTGACTAACAGAATTCATTGAAGGCATATCTGCTGATCCAGTGGAATTTTAAGATGGGTAGCACAAAATTCCCCAAGGAAACTTTAATACACTGGAACCCTGCCTTATGGTCACCTTGTTATTTACCGGCCATTTTTTTTTTTGTCCCAGTGAAATGGCCATACATTTTCTTTTAAGAAAACCCCGTTTATGCTGTTGCCCCGTCAATACGGCCCATGGCCATATTCTGAAATCCCAACCAGAATAATCCTTTACAATTTTACCCTGTTAATATGGCCACTTAAAGCATTAATATGTATTCACAGTTCACCAAACAAAACAAATATTAAGAAACAACATTAGCATATACTGCCTCTCATTTATTCAAAGAGGGTCATACACGAGGGTCTCTGGCACGGTTCACGAACAGAAAAAAATAGAGGATATAAAAATATCCTTTTCCCAAATCACAAATATAAGCAAGTAAGATTCTCTTTTAATAACCTGTACTTACACTAGAAAGAGTGTTTGAAGAAAGCAAAATCGTGAAAGGCTAAGTCAAAGTTCCATATTGCAAATTGCATGGCAAAGGCAATCCTGATAGAAGGCTCTAACCATTTGGAGGACTCACGTCTCAAAATCATTGTGCAGGGCTCAAAATAATTTTCGGACCATGGCTGGTCATGTTGGCCAGCCAAAGCAATTTTAGTTTCGTGATGTCTCATTTCTGACTGGTCAGATATTGAACAAAAAATTAAAGTAATGATGGCGTATAAACCCAAAAATATACTTTGTTTGCTCCAGTCGATGCTAGACCGTTTAAAAAGTGGCTTAATTAATACAAAGAACGGCTCAAAATCTAACTGAAGATAGCTTTGGCAGGGCTCAGCAGCTCAATGAAGTGCATGCTGTCAGTGGAATTCCTGCCATCTGCTAAAGAAAAGGTAATGAACCGATGCACAATTGTGCGATTGGTATATTGAATCGTGTGAGCTGTTGTTAAGTTAACATATTCTTCAAAGTATTTATGTCCATCAAAACGTAAATGAAACCAAACATGCATCAACAGATCCTAATTTTGGGCTTCAGAAATAACTGGGTAAACAAACAGAGCTGAAGAAGAAGCTTCTGTTTCCTTGATTCTCACCTGTGCCAGCGTACAACAAATCGTCACATCACTATGAATATGGCTACAGTTACACAACAAGTGTTGGGAAGTTCCTTAATGATGCAAAGTGCAAACCATAAAAAATCTAAACTCTGTTGTAGTCATATTTAGAGAGAGTTTTCATTCATGGAGAACTAATGAACAATAAACAATCGCCAGTAGATTTTACAACTGTTGGTCACATGCTAAGTGACAAGTTAAAAAATAAACAACAGGGTCATTGTTCTGGCGATTTCAATTATTTGCATTAGGAAACAAATATAAGAATAGATCTCGGAGAAGACCAAAAGGAAAATATAATCTAGTAGCAAGCTGAAGATGAACGTCTCATGTTGTTCCAGGTATTATTTTACATAAATGAAGCCATCTTTGAATAGTCGCAGGTGGTTATTGTCGATTTTTTTAAATCGATAACAATTGATATTCCTGAAGACAGGAATTATCGATTTTTGCCAGTTGATAGCAATCGATAAAGAAATTTTTCTGTGAGTTATCGATTGTTATTGATTGCCGATATTAATCGATAGCAATAAGCGATTGATATTGATTGATTTCCGATATCGATTTTTATGGATTGACTACTCCTGGCGATCTTGAATGCATGACAAACGGCAAGCGAACAATTTTTAGCCGTTCAAACAGATACCCATTGGTGTGCTTTTTTGCGCAAGAGGTCATAATATTTTTACAAAGAGATAAAATTTAAGATTTACAGTTGACGATTTGATTGTTTATTCGAGAACGAATAACATGACCGCATTAACATGACTGGCGAGTGAATTTTTTGGCCGGTCAAGTCACAATTCTGGCCGGACATTGTCCGTTGACCGGCCATTATTTTGAGCCCTGCTGTGGTGAAATCACAAATATCAGTTAATAGCGGAGCTCCGGTGGCCCTTCCTGGGTGAGGTTAATCAGGCTCTGAACAACCCGGCCCAGGAGCTACACCTTTAGGCTGGCCTAAATCTATGTATCAATTCAAGTTCTTCATGGGTCACGCAAAACATTCAGGTCATGGATCACAAAGAATAATTTCCTAAATTCATGTTTCATTGAAAATAAGATCAGCTAATCATGCCTCACGAGAATACCCCGGGACGACCCTCTTCAAAGTTAACATATCATGTCAATGACATCATTCCATGGTTAATACAGTTTGTACAAATCAGTTTTAATTTTTTTAAATCATATCTGCAATCTGGATGCCTATTCAGATGTTTAGAAGTTTAATTGCGATACATATGCATATCCTACAAGGCATCGCTACAAATAGACCAGTCATGAAACTTAACCCTACCTCGCTAATACAGCCACCCCTTAATATGGCCAAATTTTCATGACCCGTTAGTAACTGTGTTGATGGGGTTCCACTACTGTACTTCTAAAGTAAGGAAAACTATTTTATGGCTATATACAAGAATCCTACTGTATTCACAAATGCAGGGAAATTCTAAAACTCAATCAACAAAGAGTTATTTTCCCCTTTGACTAACATCTGGACCTGAGTTGTTCACAAATACAGAGCAAACAAAAAAGTAAACCAAATTGAAACCAAAGTTCAAGTCAAGAATTGAAACCAACAGATGGTGCACCACAGAAATTAGTGATGGTTTCCATACAAACATACTTTATTTGATAAGGTTGTTACAAATCCTGTTTGTTTGTTTGGAGAACACTGGAAAATTCACGGGCTATCTAGGCTTTAGAACAGGCAGAAAGAAAGCTTTGGGAATTTTTCCTGAGTGTTAACTTACATCTGCCGTGTTGGTGTCCTTTAGTGCTTAAATACCATTACTATTGCAGCTGAAAAGAATTGGTAGTATTGATTAATCACAGAAGATTTGCTGAAAAGTTAAAGGCTGAAAACTGTCAAGAACCATAAGGAGCCTTTTCTTCATACCATTGTCAAAGGCGTTGTGTTTGTTCACAGGCTTTCTCCTATGGTACAGTACTTTGGAAAGATATAAGGCAGAGTTAAAGGTCAGAAGACAAGTGGGCATCACAAGCAGTACAAGTCTCACCTCTTTTGCAATGTGATCTAAAGCAATCAATCAGAAGATACCTGAGTATATGTTTTTTGATTCAAAGCCCAAGTTCAATGCCCAAGTCATCTGTGTATACCAACTAACTGATTCACATTTAACATGACTCAGATGTTTAACTTGAACTCAGGCTTGGATGTGACTCAGCTAAACAGGGAACTCTCTATAGGTGGTTTAGGTGGTTTAAGTGTCAATCCTTATGGTAAACTGCCAGTTCTGTACGTTAGTATTTGCTAAGTCCATTAATGAGTAGTTAAATTCACCAAAAATTGCTGCATGATGTGACAATATCTGTGAATCAGCCATTGAATTCATTATCAGCATTAGTAGGTAAGCTACACAAAGTTATTCAATTAGCATTAATGACAGACTGTGCTCACAGTCACACACAAAGCCTCATTAATAGTTCAATACCAATTGACATCTACTTGTGGACTGACACTTGTAAATATTATCAGTGATTGTCATTTTATGCAGTGAATATCCCACACCCTACAAAATTCATAATTATTGTAATACAAAAAGTAGACATCAAGCAAAAAAGATGACTACAAACAAAAGTTTCAGCTTCTTTGGTGTGACTTTACTTTATAATACTAAGGTTTTATGACTGGATTACCATATATGCGAACTTTGTAGAAAAAACTTACTACACTTTAACTAAGCTTATTTAGTTAATACAACTAACATTCCATTCAATATATTTATTGTCAAGCTTAAACTGTTTTTCTAGAAATATGACCTACGTGCGTGAAAAATTCTAATGACTACTAAAACTATCCACACAAAAAGCGAGTATTTTTAGTTTTCTTTGGTAAGCAATCCAGAAATATAAAATGTGTAGAAACTGTGAATTAAAAGAAAACAACACACGAAGTCTAATGAAAAAGTTTAAAATAATAACAATGGTCTTGCCCTTCATAAAAATCCTTCTGGTATAAAGCAAATTGTATCTATTTAACTTCAGTTTCTTCTAAAATCTACACATTCTTTCCAACACATCGTGTCAATAAGCTTAAATGATAAAACTTAGACGGTTATCTTGTTCGTGTTAGCGGAGCACAACTTAGCTCGAGGGTTAAAGGATGGCACAGCATCCCCCCTTACTTGAGGAACCTTTCTGTGTAGTTTTCATTCGTCTTACAATCTCGGTAAACACTTCGTCGACATTGCTGTTGTTTTTCGCAGAGGTTTCAAAATGCGGACAGCCCCATTCTTCTGCTAAAACCTTAGCTTCGTTTGCAGACACTTCTCGTTCGTCAAACATGTCACTTTTATTTCCAACAAGTATCAAGGGCACGCTGTCTGAGTTTTTCACACGTAGTATTTGATCTCTCATCGGTTTTAAATCTGTAAATGTTTGTCGATTTAAAAGAGAGTATATTAGAAGGAATCCTTGACCATTTTTGATGTACAAATCTCTCATAGAAGCGAACTGTTCAGTGCCAGCCGTGTCCAAAATTTCCAAGATGGAGGGATTGCTATCAACGTCGATCTCCTTCCGATAAAAGTCTTCGATCGTTGGGTCATATTTTTCCACAAATTGTCCGGTGACAAATTTAACTGTCAAGGCACTTTTCCCAACTCCACCTGAACCTAAAACGACGACTTTATACTCCTTCAAGTTCATCGTACGAATATAAGTTACAACGATGATATGATAAGCTCCTGGGTTTAAAGCACAGTTAATATGTAACCGAACGAGGCCAATGAAAAGAGTGACTCAAATGCAAAACAGCTGTCTTCAAAGAGCCTCGGCAAACCACGGCTTTACGACATTCATCAAATACTTAGTGAATTGTCTCACTTCCTACACTTACATGGTTACGAACTTCCTTCGCTTTCCATTTTCTGGCTCGCAGAACATTCAACCTGGGCGTTGACGCTCCACCGATGGTTTCTGGGTAACGCGGCGATGCCGCTTGCTGTGCGCGCCTGAAAGTAACAACGGTTGCTATTTTTTTCTCAACTAATAGCTGGTTTTCACATGACGTCACTAATATATAGATTTAGGCCAGCCTAAAAGCGTAGCTCCTGGGCCGGGTTGTTCAGAGCCCGATTAAGCTCACCCAGGAAAAGGTAGAATTTTGAGGTTTTCTGGATATTGTTTGGCCTTCCATTTGTATAGCAGAAAAAGTTATAATTCCGTTAACTTTTAATCCTGAGTTAGCGTTAACCGGCTTCCGAACAATCCTGCCCTGTTTTCAACAAGTTAAACTGACGTGAGCCTGCGATCTAATCGAAAACTATCACTTGGTCAGCGGTCAACTTTGAAAAAAAAAAAACACGTAAACTCAATGACCTGTAAACTTGAGCCCGCGATATGATCACGTGATACTGGTCAGCGGAT